ATTCGTAATAAATCCGAGGTCACCAGTTTGTGGAGGAAATAAGTAGACTCGCTTCTTATTATAAAATATAATATATTAACAACTTTGAATAATAACAATAACGTACATATTAAAAACAGGAGAATTATCAAGCAGCAGCAGCAGCAGAAAGAAAACATTAGTATTCTTTTATTTGTGTTCCTCGTTGCTATGGGATACGAGGCTGGCAGCGTTGAGTTGTAGTAGGCAGGTCACCACACATTAGTATCACCTGTTTACATAGAATCTTCTAATGTATCAAGAGACTATATATTGTTTCTTTTAACGTGTTATCTTAAATTTAAGAAGAAAAAAAACGATAGGTTTGTTGTCTGTACTTTTATTTTAATATCCTATATATTATTTTGATATTCTAGTAAAATAATTTTAAAGTCAAAGTTAGCATTTTTGTCAGCAGCGGCATAACAGCATTGCGCACAAACCATCTTTACTTACCAGACAAGCTGGTATTTGGTATTTATCCCTCTAAAACTGGGTAGGTTTCCAACCACCACTGCGGATTAATAATATGAAATAAAACATTTTCTTCTTTATCATATCAAAAATATAACATAAAGCTGGTTAAATTAAACTTATAACATAAATTTTCTCCATATTATATTTGTAAGAATGAATATAATTTCTCTTATTTTCAGTATTAGTTTTTTTTATTTATTTTTTAGTCCCTTTCTAACTTACAAACATCTGAATCACAGAAAAGCGAAGAAAAAAATATTTGAAGTTTAAACAGATTGAAAATATTGCCAAGTTCAAACAACATCCAACAAAATTTTCAAAGTGTAAAAATCATCAAAATGTTTTCAGAGTTGAAAATAGTTTGAAAAGATTACCATGTATAAAAATACAAGTCCAAACAGTTTAAAATCTAACTTTAGAATTTTTTTCAAGTTTATTTGAAGTCATTTAAAAAAATTTTCAAAGTAAAAAATATTTTGAAACATTTCAAGTCTGAAATGTCTCGTGAAAAATATTCAAGAAAAATACGCGGTGAATTTCTCTCGAAAAATTCAATGAAATTCTTCCAAGTCAAAAAAAAACGAGGCTTAGCGAAACAACCGAAGAGAAATTTCCAACTTTGTCGTTTTTTTTTCGGACTTTGAAGAGATCACAGAATTTTTTTCCGAGTAAGAAACAAATTCTCCTCGTAAGAAATATGTTCAAATTTTTGTTCACAATACAACGTTATAAATTTTAATCAATCTATCAAGTTTCAAAATATTATAAACGTTTCAAAAAAAGACTAACAGTTTTTAAATATTGAATATGAATTTTCAAGTTGTTCAAACAGCTTAGGATTCCAAAGTACAGCGTTTTTTTTATAATTCTAATGAATTCCAAATTCTTTTTTCCGAGTACCAAGAAATTTTCTCAAGCATTTAGAGTATTACTTTTTAATGGGGTGTCTTTAAAATTTCATTTTCAAGTTTTAATATAAAATGAATTAGCCTAAGAAAAAAAATACTGAGAATGTAATTTTTTACACAAAGGTGAGCAATTTCTGCTCAAAATAAATCTTAGTATTATTTTTAAATAGATACATTACAAACATTTGCATCTAAAGTGATACTACTAAAGTATCTATTTGGAAATAATACTAAGATTTATTTTAATCCGAAGCATTTGAAACTAAGATTTATATTTACTAAAGCATCTATTTAGAAATGATACTAAGATTTATATTTAAAGTATCTATTTAGAAATGATACTAAGATTTATATTTACTAAAGTATTTATTTAGAAATGTTGCTAAGATTTATATTTACTAAAGCATCTATTTAGAAATGTTGCTAAGATTTATATTTACTAAAGTATCTATTTAGAAATGTTACTAAGATTTATATTTACTAAAGTATCTATTTAGAAATGTTACTAAGATTTATATTTACTAAAGTATCTATTTAGAAATGTTACTAAGATTTATATTTACTAAAGTATCTATTTAGAAATGTTACTAAGATTTATATTTACTAAAGTATCTATTTAGAAATGTTACTAAGATTTATATTTACTAAAGTATCTATTTAGAAATGTTACTAAGATTTATATTTACTAATAATATCTATTTAGAAATGTTACTAAGATTTATATTTATCGGAAATTGTTCACCTTTGTGTAAATAATAACTTATCAAATCTAAATAGATGTAAAGTGTACAATTTTTTCATCATTTGCAATTTTGTGTCCATTTTTTGCAACTTAAAATTCGTAATTATGAAAGCAAAATCAAATTTAAATCGCAGAGAAGCAAATGCTTCTTGTTGATATGTTGAAAAAAATGATTATGTGAAAAGTTATTGGTTGCAGGCGTATGTCGATATGTAAAAAGCTTCTGCAGAGCGAAACAGAAATCTTGATAGAAAGTGTGCTTTCAGTTTTGAGGAGAAATGAAAACATAGGCAGACAAGCAACAGCCATGTGTAGAAATTTTTTTAAATGTAAGTTAGTTGATATTCGTTTCTCAGACGCAAATTTAAATTTTGTAAATTGAAAAATAATTACAAATTTAAGCTATATTATTTGAGTATTATATTTTAGGCCAATGGACTTAACTCTTTTTTTCAAATGAAGAAATTAGCATTTTGCCGGACATAGATGTTTACTTTAAAAATCTCTTTGAAAAGAAAAAGGAATCGCAAAGAGAAATTTACAAGTTTCTTTGTATTTTTTTACAATATATATTAACATCGTATCCCCTGATTAAAATAGCCCATTTTTGTCCGTAAATTATACTATGTAACAATTAAAATTAAAATTTTACGAGTATAAACATTTCGATGAAATTACTCAAAGATAGAAAGTGACTTTTTAAAGCTTAATAGTGATGCCATCTATCGACAATACGTGGATGCAAAAAATGTACTTGAAACAGTTCGTTCAAAACGGGGTTTTTGAAATAGCGGTTACTGCTACAACTATTTTTCTTTATTACAGAAGTAATTTTCACGCTTACAATGTATGGTAAATTGCACCATATAGTATAAAATACATCGATAACAGAAAAAAATTAAATTAAAATTTACATTAAAAGGAATTTGCACATCAACATTAGTGATTTTAAATTCGTTAGAAACACACTTAAAAAAAATGATGTGAGAAAAAAATTTAAAGTATAAATAAAATTCATTTTAATTTAAATATTTTGAATTAATTTGTTTGAGCCCCTGTGGGTGGATACTTGACCCCTTGTACAAAAATTTTTTAAATCTACAAATGTGTGTACAACATATTTCTTTCAAAAAAAGAAAATTGTAGTTTTTATTGTGCTTTATAGTAGTATATTGGAATATCTCTGCGTCAATTAAGCTTACTTTATTCAGAAGCTAAAATTTTTTTTAATTGTAAAACATTTTTGAAAAACTAGAAAAAATTATTTATAATGGAAAAATGATTTATAATAAAAAGGAAAAAATACATTTATAAATTAAATTACACTTTCAAACTGAGTAAAAGCAAGAAAACTATTAATTAATTCTAAATAAATAGATTATATGACCCTAACTAAATACAGAAGGAAACAGAAACATTCCTCTGCAATGAAAGTGACTTTGTAAAGTTTAATAGTGGTGCCATCTATCGATACTTTCATGTTTTATTTTAAAAAAGATTACAGAAAGGTTTTATACCTATTTAAAAACGATTAAATTTTTAAACCATGAAAGAAAAAAAAGATTATTTTGTAAAATTTTGTTTGTTATTCTTTTTAATTTTGTAATAAGAGTGTTTTGATTTTAAACTCTGCAGTATTTAATATTTAAAAAGTAATTGAATAGTCCTAAAATGATAAATTTTCTTATTGATTTAAAAGAGTGTCGATTGATTTTAAACTGCGCTTATTGATTATTTAATATAAATTTAATAGTCCTAAAATGATCAGTTTTTCACTATCGAAATTTAAATTTATTAACATTTTATTTTAATTTTGTAATAAGGGTGTTTTGATTTTACACATTATTTATTATTTAATAGTCATAAAATGATCAGTTTTTTTACTAGTGAAAATTTTAATTTATTAAAATTTTATTTTAATTTTGTAATAAGAGTGTATTGATTTTTAACTACACATTATTTATTATAAATTTTAAAATGATCAGTTTTTTTACTTGCGAAAATTTTAATTTATTAAAATTTTATTTTAATTTTGTAATAAGTGTTTTGATTTTAAACTACACATTATTTATTATTTAAAATAAATGTAATAGTCTTAAAATGATCAGTTTTCTTATTGAAGACTGTTTTGCTTTTAAACAGTGTCCAATATTTTTTTTTTAATCGTAGTGGCGCTATCTATCGTTGAAGTTTAATACTAATACTTTGTAATTGTTTGGAGTTAAGTAAAACCATGAGAAAAGAAGTATCAGAAATATTAAAAAAAAATTGTTCTCAACCATTTCAGATTTTTGTCATTTATTTTTTTTTAATTCTTCTATACACATAACGTTTATAAACAGCATCGGTGTTTTTAGTGGGATTCGAAAGATTTATAATTTTCTTATTACTTGTATCAAAAACATCTTCTTTTAAAATTAAAGTATTGCTTTTTAAATAGCTTTTATTTACAACATTTTCATCAAATTCAGAATTTTTCCTATAATGTTTCCTTTTAGCATCATAATGACCTCATCTGAATCAAATAAAAAAATTTCTTGTTGTTAGCTTGTTGTAATTAAAAACTTTATTTTTTCTTTGAAATAGCGACTAGTTTTTAGACTTTAAAAATAAAATGATTAAAATTAAAACCTAAAGCTTAAAAATAAAATGATTAAAATTAAAATTTAAAGCTTAAAAATAAATGATGAAAATTAAAATCTAAAGCTTAAAAATAAAATGATGAAAATTAAAATCTAAAGTTTAAAAATAACATGAATTGAAATAATATTCAAGTTAGAATACTAAATTAGTAGTAATTAAACAGAATGAGAACGCAGAAAATGGACTAGTTATGTATTTATAGTTTCAAAATTTATTATATTTAAAAATTACATTCTATAGATTTTCCCATAAATTTTGCATCAATGAAATATACATATGTAAAAAAAATAAACAGTTTACAACAATTGGGAGAAAATTTTTAACAACCAAATTTGCAGCAATATCTATCGAGAAATTGTCCAAAGAAAACTTACACTCTGCTCAATCCATTACCACTATAGAATCTCAATCCATTTCCTCTAATGCGAAAAACCTCAAAATTCATTCATCAAACTACATGGAGGAAAAGTTGAGTTCTTTAAACGTTAGAGCCCATTGTACAAATTTCAACAAGGGAGAGTAAAAACCTTCTTTTTGAGAGATTAATTCATCGTTTTGAAAAAATAATAATTTCTGATATGCCATAATATCATATTTAATAAATTTGAAGACATTGGTAGGTATTCCTGTTACTTTTGCATTCTCCTCCCTCTGCATCAACATTTCGCTAGAATCTTTACAGCAATGTGGACACAATCCGTCATATATAATTATCCAAACATAGAAGCATTTAAAATGGACTTTGAATGGGCAACATTTCCAACTCACACTGTAATTGTCGTTCAATTCTCGACACAGTAAGCACACAGTCTCCATTGGATGAAATAAATTATGGATATCATAGAAATCATGACAATGTTTCCTTTATATACACTTGTAACGCCACCTGGATGGGAGAACCAAAACATTTAACGCCACCTGGATGTGAGAATTGGAACATTTAACGCCACCTGGATGTGAGAATCAGAACATTTAATGCCACCTGGATGGTATCGTCTTTGTCATTTCATTTACCTACAAGTATTGCCTACTGCATTGCAGTCATGATTTTTACTGGATACATAGTAAAAAGTTTTTACGATCAGAATAAATTTAAACTCATGTTTATTTCTATTCACGACAATTATACAATACTGGATCATGAGTTTGATAGATTCGAATATGCATTATTCAACATTTTGACGAAAGAAATGGCCTATTTCACAGCACCGAATATTATAACAGGAAGAGAATCATATTTAGAATGCATTCCCAGTAATGCCGTTATTTTTGTGGGTGGAATATTTCAACACACACTTTTTAAAAATCTTTTAGGTTACGGTTACGGCAAGAACATCAAATTAAGATATTTAAGCATTCCCCATTCTATGGATGATATGATTCGACCTATATTTCACTTGCATCGTTTAAAAGAACACGTTCAATGCAGTGCAAGATATTTGGCAAAAATGATTGAACCGACTGAGCTCCGAAATTTAAAATTATATCCTAATGGCATTAACACTTGTCCAAGTCTTTTCTAATTGTCTATGGCTGCAGTTTCCGACTCTGTTGAAAATTATGATGATTTAAATAACCTAAAATTATCAAAGTACTGTGAAAACGAATTAAAATATACATTTGTTAAAAAAAAAACGAAACCTCAACTGAGACCCATCAACTTTTTAATAGCTGCCATAATTCGATTTCACAGGAACTATAAAGTACGCTTTTGTATCTTATTAAGATTAAGTCCTAGAATGTGAAGATCCGATCATTAGATAGAAAGTTATTTGGCGTAGTCAGCTTTTTTGTTTTTCGTACTTTTTTGTCTTTCGTACTTTTTGTTTTTCGTACCCCAGAAAGTTTGCACTTTATTTCTTTGAAGATATAAAAAAGCATTGATCACTTAAATCACAAATATTTGATTATTTCCTAAATCACTGAGCAGAAAAGCATAGATTTTGAAAGTTAAAAGAACAAATTCATAAAAAGTGTTTTAAAATTAAAACAACTATTTCATGTAAACATGAATTAAAACTTCTTAATATCTCCTTATATTTAACCTAGCCAATTTTTTATTCAACACCATTTTGACTATCGGTGAAAATTAAGTTCTCCAGTTAGGTTTGTCTTCTAAAAGTAGCAGAGTAGTGAACGCATATATTTAACCTAGCCAATTTTTTATTCAACACCATTTTGACTATCGTCGAAAATTAAGTTCTCCAGTTAAGTTTGTCTTCTAAAAGTAGCAGAGTAGTGAACGCATTTCTGTAGTTTGTAGTTGCTACATTTTTCAAAAAAAAGTAGTTATAGTTAGCAACAATTGTAATAAAGTAGAACTACAGAGTTAGCTACTGAAGTTAACTACAAAGAAAATGTAGTTTTACCGACCACCACCCCTGGGTGCTATCTATGGGGGCAATTTGATCCAGGAGAGCGATGAATGAATACCAATACTATTTGAATTATAAATCAAAATGATGAATAAATACCAATGCTATTTTTATTATGAATGAATACAATTAAAAAGATTTTAAGAACCAAGCAATGATTTTAAATCACGTATTGGAGATATTTAAAATATGGATAAAGCAGGATGGATTATCAAGATGATTTAACTGAGTAAATTATAGATGATTATGCAAAAAATATCTTAAACTTTAAAATGGCAAGATTTCCATTTGACATATTGATGATATAAAATTTCATTTGCAAAAAAAAAAAAAAATTCAGAGTCAACATGTTTTGAAGCTTGAAAATATGCGCCCATTCTCAAGACTCGCCAGATGTGAATGAGGCATGAATATATTCCTCACTCACATCATGGAGTCTTGAGAATGAGCACCTGTTTTTAAGCACTCAAAACACTTAGATTTTTATTACCATCAGCATATTTTTTCAAGCAAATGAAGTTTTATACATATTGCTAGTGGATAAATACAATATAAAATGGTAGATTTCCGAACCTGTGCAATATTTTCTTCCTTTGGACCTTCAGATCCCGAATCAGAAATTTCTCGTTTGACAGGAGCTTTTCTGTCCAGTTCTTTCTTATCTTCATCATATTGTATTGGAAATGAAGATTCAGATATCTCCTTCTTAATCGGCATTTGAGACTTATTTGGACTTTCTGACTGTTGATTTTCTGTAAGTCAATGGTAATTGCATAATTAGATTCAAATTCAATTATAAATGTAAGTTTTCTATAAAAAAAATAAACCTTTTGCTAACTTATAGAATGAAAGATTTTTCTGTAATATTAAAGTAAGCAAAAGACATAAATCCACTACAATATTAATCTAAGAGCTGTGATGGCTCAGGTGATAGAGCGTTCACAGTCTCATGAGCTAAACCGGGTTTGAATCCCAGCTGGTCTATACGAATTCCGCATTCGCCTTGCACCGACCACAGTACTAATGTAAAATATCCTCAATGGTAGACGGATCAGAGGTTAGAGTCCTCTTGCCATCAGGCTAACCTTGGGAGATTTTGCTCGCCATGTAACCCAAATGTGGGTTAGTTTCATCAAAAATTCCTCCACGAAGGCAAATTTCTCAAACTACTTGATACAGGAGTTCCCTTGTCTTCCAGATTATGCTCAAAATTACAAGGCTAGGGCGTGGAGCATTAGTAGTCGTAAACCAAAAATCGGGTTGGCTGTTCAATGACAATTTTAAAATAAAATAGTTATCTAAAATCTCAATTGCCTAATTTCTTTAAAATAATTCATTATAATGTAGTCACCTTCATCATAATGTAGCGATTATTTTTATTCAAGATGCTTTTTCTAAGATATGGGGATAGATTTGTACAATAACTTCAGCAGTAATAGTTAATACAAAATTTAAAATGGCACAATGCCATAAAGAACAGTTTTTTTCTTCAAACAATAGAATACACTTCAATACACTTAACTGCAAGAAGATCAACCAATCACAAAAAATTTAAAATAATGTTTCAAGTTTCATTACAAAACAAATAAAACAATTAATGAAGAAAATAATAAAAATATAAAACAGTTACTAAAAGCACATTTTAAAAACATGAAAATTTGGTGCTTTTTATATATATTGTATAATTTTGTAATTGGAACTAAAACCCATAGAAAATACACAGCATTTTGTATCTTATATAATATGTCTTTTGGTCATTCTGAAAAAAATTTAAAAATACATTAAAAAATTTAAAATAAATGGATGTGTATAAAGGTACTTTGAAAGTACCTTTATACGCATCCAGGGTGCATAACCAAATTTTTCAACAAAAAATAAGCACCTTTTAAGCACTCAAAAATATTTTTAAGCACTATACGTTAACAAAATGCAAAATAATTTTCAAAGACTTTACATGATCATGATAAAATAACCAGTTTCTGACAAAGAACTATTTTCTTGACTATATTAGCCATTATAAAACAATGAAGAGGTTTTTCCATTTGATATCAGAGGGAGGAAAATGATGCCTGAAATTGAGAATATCTTGCAAAATGCAGCAGAGTTTCAGAGAAGAAAAAGCAAAATAAAAGAAGAAAATTAATAAAAAAAACAAACAAATGTAACATAAAAAATAATCAATTATTAATTTACAATAAAAACAATTATTATCCTCTAAAGCAAAGCAGATTATACAAATGAGACTTAGAATCTTGCTTTAAACAGAAAAAAATAATTTTATTATGTTAAATCTTAGTGGCACAATACAATTAATTATGCATTTTGGTGTCAGATGTAAAAAATCTAAAGTGCATCGAGATTTTTTAAAAAAAAAAATTTTTTTGTAAATCAAAATGCAATATGTTTCAACACGTTTGTGCAAAATAACCTGTCTTGTTACAGTTTACTATAATAATTATTTATTGTATTTTCTGTTATTAGTGTGATTTTTTTAAAAAAAAACTGCACTTGTGAGAGATTCATTAATAGAGGTTAAAAATTTTAAATGATATAGCTTTTCATTTAACAGCTTATAACTTATCGAAACTGATATTTAAAAGTTAATAGTCATTATTTCTAAATCTTCAATTTTTTACTTTGAACATGATACCTTGTTTGTTTTAAATTATCAAGTTTAAAATTTTGGTTATCAAATAGACCTTACGGTGCAATTGCCGAACCAGAAATTTGTACGTGTACAATGCAGAACATAAAACTAAACTTTTTGCTTTCCTAATAAACTTATAGGAACAAAATTTTCTATATTTTATGTTTATACATCATTTAACATGTTTCTCATATATTCCTTAGTTTTTACCAGCTCTTTTAGGGTAAAAGGGGAAACAGTTATCAACTTTGGAATGCAAGCAACATTTACAAACTTTCACTGCACAATTCCAATTTTGAACCAATTGTCAAATATTTACCAACAAAACAATAAAATTAAATGTTAACATATAGTTGGTTTGCAAAAGAACTTTCTTTTTAAATGAAATGTGTTGTAAAAGGTCATAATGAGATTGAGAAAATTACCATCAATGCAACGATTTTTAGACAAACATTGCTGTTAGCGATTGTAAGAAAATGAGTGATTAGTTGGCGTTGCTGAGAAAGAACAATTTACAGATTTTATTGGATGACAATACAAAAGCTTTCAAAAAAGAGTGCAATAAAAAATATATTATTAAATTATAATCAACCAATTTTTGGAGAATTTCAATTATTGGAGAATCAAGTATTGGGAGAAATTTTGCTTTTGTGAAGGACTTTTTTATGGAACTAACTCGTATTTGCGTTATATGGAGTGGAAAACCACAAAAATCTTTCACGGTTAGTCTGACGGCAAGGAAACTCTCACCCATGATCCATCTACCACTGAGGATATTTTACATCAGCACTGCGCAAGCCGGGTGCGGTATTTGTATCGACGAGCCATGGCTGGGATTTGAACCCGCTTCACTTCATTGGAAAGCGAAAGCTCTATCCTCTGAGCCATCAAGGCTCAGTTTTTTTTAAATAAGAGAAACTTTTTTAGAAAAAAAATGACAAGTTTATTTAAAAGCTGCTTTTTTTTTTTATAAGAAAAGTATGTACATAGTCCCTGCCAACTTGAGGATGATTTTCTCCAGTTGTAGTAAAATAAAAATTTTATTACTACTATCAGCAGAAATATCTGTTTTATTTGGCTCAGAGTTCAAAAATAACATTGTATTAATTTTCATCCACTTTTATAAATATTAATCCTTTAATATGTAGTGGTGGTCCAAATCATTTTAAATAAAATTTAAAAATCCAAGAAAGCAATAAAAAGCATAAACTTTACTACAAATTTAAATGCATTTAAAATAGAAACTGCGTAAAAATCGGCAGTTATGTATATAGTGACAAGGTGTGTAGTCAAATCTATCAACAAAAAATAAGCACCTTTTAAGTACTTTCAAGCACTTAAAATATATTTTTAAGTACTATATACACTAACAAATGCAAAAAAATTTTCAAAGACTTTGCATGATCATGATGAAATAACTAGTTTCTGACAAAGAACTTATATTAGCCATTATAAAATAATCAAGAGATTTTTCGGATCAATATCAGAGGGTGGAAAATGAAGCCTGGAATTGAGAATATCTTGCAAAATGCAGCTCAGTAGTACATGAGAGTGCAATCTCACCGAACCCAGTTCAGTAGACACACATGCGGACTCGCAAGTATTTCATCAAACATGTAAAATGATTGGTTTTACATATAATTGCAGTTTTCTAATGAAACAAAATCTACCTTATTTATTCTGTCAGTCCTTACATTAGGAAATCAATTATTCTTTTACTCAACATGCACACACTTTTATTTTAAATCATGAAATCATTTCATTGCAAATAATATCATGTTAGTGATTTGCAAATAATTATATTCAACTGTTTTTATTAATTTGCTTATTGTTATTGTGAACACAACTTAAAATTTGATTTTAAATATCTTTCCACTTTACTTTGATTTCTTACCCTCTTGAAAGATGTTATGATTTATATACTTTTTGCTGTAATTGTTTAAAAATAAGGAGTGATTAATTTTTTTTCAAATTGGATTTTGAATGCTCCAAACATCCTCTTTGTTATATTCTATGAATTCAAGTCCTGTTGTGTATGCCATATTTAGACAAACAGTTTCAACACACATTTCATAAAGGCCACTAAAGTCTATTTGAAGTTTTTGTTTATAAATTATTGACTAATTGTAATAAAATGATATAACTGAAATGTGTGTATGCTTCGGACTTAATGTTCAGACCAGGCACACAGTCCATAAAGGCCAGTAAAGGTCCATTTGATGTTTTGGTCTATAAAATATTGAATTATATATGAAATATTATATTTCCCCTCACTGACACGCACTTATTGCCGCCTACCATGTGCGTAGTGCAGTTAAAACAAATCATTTTTTTAAAAATTAAATTAAGAGTTTAGTAATGATTTGACACTTTTTAATAATTTAACATTAGTACTTAAAGTATTTTTTTTTTAAATTTTTTTATTAAAATTCTGTCAATACTTGTTTGTTTCATAATTTTTTAGACAGTCAGTATCATTTTTAAACAAATAAATCTTTAGTCAATTTTATTTTCAAAAAAGAAAATAATAGAGAAAAACTATTTTTACATTTTTTAAGTACAGAATTTGGCCAATAGTTAATACTACTTTTTATTATTTTAAATAATTAAATAAAAGAGGGTCTGATGATGTTTCAAAAGCATATGTTTTTTTCAACATATAATTTAAAACTTTTTTTTTTTCGAAAGTGAAAATTTTTTTGGTTTGTTTTCTACTTTCGTTTTTTTCTTTTAATTTTTAATTTATTTATGTAAAATATTTTGTTACAATATTATTAATTTTAAACTAGTGAATCTTAAATCATTTTTATTTAAGAATAATGAAATAAAACTTGGGTTTGCTTTTACTTTGACTTCTTTATTATTTTAATTGAAACTATTAAGCAATGATATTGATATCATAGTGGAATATGTTTAGAATTAATATTTACTTTTGTAATAGATTTATTTCTTTTTATTTATTTTTGATTGATTTAAAGATTTGCCATAGGTAATTTTTGAACAAATGCTAAATTGCAATACATCGCTCTATCGCGATGTATCACAATTTAAAATTTCTGACAACACCCAGTCCTAATCATAGAATATGACAAATAAACTATAATTTTAGTTATTCGGCTACTGTTTTTGATAAATTTTTAACCCTGTTCAGGCAACTATTTTCGTAGTTTTAGGCAACTATTTTCCTTCTTGAGGCTACTAAAGGCAACCTTCCTTTTTTGTTCCTTTTTTGCTGTGGCAATTCTGTGATTTAAATAATTTAAAAAAATAAATAAATTACAGTTGATATAAATCATGCTATTCTGATACACAACACCTATAAACTGTCAAATAGTTTGACTTGCGATTGTTTCCAAGTGAAGGGGAATAATTAATCAAATTTTCAGGCAGGGATCTTTACACTTATGGAAATTAGAATCAGTTAAATTTAAACATGGCACGTAGAACAGATAAAAGCCTTATTTGTAAAGCAGGTTAACTCCATATTTGTTAATTTTGAGATACAGATTCACTAAGTCTTGTGAGTTAATTGTTTTTAAATTTTTATATGATTTGTGGTGCTTTCTGTGTGACTACAGAAATAAGCTAGAGGCGTACACTAGTTTTAAAATAAAATAAAAATGACAAGTACAAATATGAAAGTGAGGATAACAAGTGTAGTCAACCTATTCATATTTTGATCACAAAGGCAAAAATACACAAATAAATATTCTTAAGAAAGAAGAAATGTATAAGTGAAATTTTTGTTACTTTCTTTGCTGAAAAGATCTGTGGAATAATACCTTTTTTCTTTTTGATTTGAAAACTTTAATTAAGTTGTAATGTTCCTAAAATATGAATGTTTTTTTAGGAACTTACAACTAAATTTAATTTTCGTTGTAAGTTCCTAAAAAAACATTCATTTTAAAATTTTGCTTCAAAATTAGGTTAAGGAGAGTACATTACAAAAATGTTACATGCACCTCTTTTGAACTAAATTAGATTTTTGACAAAAGGTAAAACTTTTTGAATATCAGAGATATTTACCCTTTTTTAGTTATTTGCCTTCTCTTGTTTCTATCTTAACTAACTTTAAAAGGTATGATAGAGGCAAATCAATAATGGATTAGACTAGTATTTTTTTTCGCAAAGAAAACACTAATAATTCTATAGACTGATAGACACTAAAACTTAAGGATGAACAGGCAAAAAATAAATTGCAAGCAAAACAATTAACAGCTTTGAAAAATGAAACTATGGCACTTTAAAAATTTAAGATATATTTTATGAATACAGAAATAATGAATTGTATAAATATCAAAAAACAATAATAAAAATACTAGGGTTATTTGAATTTTAGAGTAAAAACCAATAGTAAATCAGAATTTATAAGTACACTGCGTCAAAAGTTTAATCAGTACTATATAATTTAGTCACCATAAAATTATTCAATAAAATTATTTCATGCACTGGCTTAAGATAATTTAAGGAAACATTTAATAATTTCCAAAGAACTTATATGGCAGCAAAGAGTTTTCTCAACTTTAGAATTTTTAAGCCTAGGAAATTTGAATGCTGTTTTTTAACTTCTTCTCACACTCTAGATATTTTTCTCAATGATGTAAATCAGTTTTTCTAATGATTTAAACCAATTTGCTGAATATAAATTTAATTTACATTAAGCCTCTATTAGGTCATTTTATAATCAAACCACCTGGTACCCAAAAAAGAGGGGTCATGATTGACAGTCTGGAAAATTAAACATACTAAAACATAACCTGCATGAAATGGAATTCTGAAGAATGCCAATGCTCATTCAGGGCTGAAGAAAAAGTTTAACCAATTTTTATAACAACATTTTCGTACATTTATTTATTCCAGGATTGGGTAAGTAAAGTGAAATAAAAAATTATACATTAGGAGATTTCAGGAAGAAACAAAGAACATGATTAAAAATTGTCAAATCATTAGTAAAAACGACAGAATGAAAAATATCAAATTGCCTATTCAAACTTGGAGGTCATTCTAAGAACTGCTTTTTAACTCTTCCGTTTTAAAGGAGCAATCCAACAGATTTTGATAGCAGTTTTTTTTCCTCGCTTAAAAATTAATTTTCAACCTCTATTGTGAATACTTTTTAACTTAGCTTTTAGAAATATTCCAAAGATACATATTAAAGGTGATTATTACAGACAACATTGTGTAAATAAGCATTTTTTCTGCCTCAAATAAGAAACATAAATACAAGGAATAATGATTGTTAAAGTATGTTTTCAAATACCTGTCCATAAGACTCTTGTTTCTTCATTGCAGTAGTCATGTACTCTGTACAAAGCAGCATTTCGGCAGTTTTTTCAGATCACTTCCAGAAAATCCCTCAGTGATTTTTCCAATCTCTTTTATATCAACATCTTCTGAATACTGAAATTTCAAATATTGTCATAAAGAATAATAGATACAATAATAAACGACCTAGTAAGATATATATATTTTTTCCATTTAAAAATAATTACAAGTTCATTTTCCAAAATGAGTTTCCAGCTCTTTCATGAGAATTCTGTTAAAAAAAGGACATAAATTTAAATATTTCAAAAAAGTTCAGACGGAATTATTAATGAGAGTGTAAGAAAAATATTAAATAAAATTTGACAATTCTTAAGCCTCTTATATTGCATTAAATTTAATTTTAAAATTATATCAATACATTAAAATGTAAGTTTAAAAAAGGTTTTGAGGAAAAAAACATGCAGTTGAATTATAAATTTAAAAAACACACAAGGGTTCCAAGAATTTTTAAAAGAATAATTTAGAAATGTTGCAAACAAAAACAAAATGAAATTAAGCTCCGAAATACATTTTGTACTTCGGAACTTCATTTCCAGCTAAAAACATTAATTTCAAGATGTAAGATTACATTATTAAGGTGTAAGATTTAATGAGGAAAATTTAAGAGAACAAACTTTAGAGTTTTAAATGTATCTAGAAGTATTGCTTGAGGTCATTCAATTAATAGCAAATATAAGTAACTCAAATTAGCAACTTCTACTCTACAAAATATATTTCCAGCTGAAATCAAACGAATTTTTAAAATCGTTTTCATAATAAGATCATGTTTGTGAAAATTGCAACACCAAGAAGGAGTTACGCCAGTGAGCTGAAGTTTTCAGGAAATGCAAAGTAGAGCATGATATGCAAATGATTAGAATTTCAGACCCCTAGCGCCCTCTGAACGGCGGATGGATCCGACTAAATAGACGGCTGTAGCGAAGCGTGTATGGTTATCGGTGGTTATCTGCTAGTGGTAAACGTTAGCTTAGTCGTTACTTATGCCTCTTCGACGAAAGAGAGCGAGATTTCAACAGTTTACGGAGTTTGAAAGGGGAGAATCTTCGACCTTTGTGAAGCTGGATTGTCTTATCGTGTAGTAGACGCTTGTGTGCAGCGTAACAGCAGCAAAGTGATGCGTGTTGGGAAGCAGTGGATGGACGAGTGTCGGACAACTCGAAAATCCGGGAGTGGACCCCGAAATGTGACGTCAGCTCGTGATGACAGACACCTCATCTGGCGCTGACAGACCGTACGGCTCCCTCTAGACAACTGACAGCACAGTGGTCAATAGCTACAGGTGTTTCATTGTGTGCTTCATTGATTCGTAGACGTCTGCTGCAGCGTAGACTGCATGCAAGGACTCCTTTATACAGGATCCCCCTCACGCTAAACCATTGCCGCCTGCGGCTACAATGGGCCAATCAGCATAGTGACTGGCGGGCTTATAGGCAGCATGTCGTGTTTTCTGACAAGTCCCGCTTTAAATTGTGGTACCATGATGGCCGCTTTCCGGAGTGCATTATCGAAAGCCACAGTGGACGAACAGCCGGAGTTATGGTCTGGGGTGCCATAGCATATCATGGATGATCACAATTGCTCCGAATTGTGGGTAATCTGAACAGCAACCGGTACATCAGGGAAGTTCTGAAGCCCCAAGCTGTTCCTTTCCTTTCCCTTCAATTTTGGAAAATTTTAAAATAAATACAAGTGAGTCTAAACTTTTGACTGGTAGTGTATATATATATATATCNCTTCAAGCCTTGCCAGGCGCTGTATTTCAACAGGACAATGCCCGCCCTCATATCGCTAGGATTGTTCAATCCTTCCTTGCATTGCGGCAGGTACAGCTTCTTCCTTGGCCAGCGTATTCCCCATATATGTCGCCGATTGAACATGTGTGGGATTTCGTTGGTCGGCGTCTTACTCGTGATCCTCGTCCTGTTGCTTCCACAGATGAACTTTGGGTACGCATGCAAACAATATGACATGCTCTTCCTCGGACAGACATTCAAAATTTGCTTGACTCCATGCCACGTCGTGTAGCAGCACTTATTGCGGCCCTTTTTGGGTACACAAAATACTGATTTCGATCTCTTGTTATTGTTTGTTTGCTTTGAAAGTTTAATCATTTATTTGTACCACTACCACTCAACTGTGTATTAAATTTCATTCAATTATGACGATTCCTTCATGGTGTTGCAACTTTCACAAACATGAGTTTAATAAAAACTGCATCCATGCCGCTTTTACACATTCTGAATTTTAAAAAAAATCTACATATATTTAGGAATTATATAAGATATTTCAAAACAAAATCGATAAAGGTTTTGTACATAAAATACTATTAAACCAAAGTGGAAAAACCTATATTGCACACAACATAGTTTCTGTAAAGATAATAACTTAACGATTTAAATAATACCATGAAATAAAATATAACATTATTATAGAAATATATATAAGTAGTTTCAAAGATTTCTGAAAGAATTGAATCTAAGTAGATTTAAATTGCTTGGGAATTAAGATATTCAAATTCAAACAAAACTTGAAATTTCAAATAAAGTTGTTAAATTAAATAGAGTTAATCTATAGGTATATATAGTTACATATATATCGACTGTATTAAATATAAGTGTAAAAAATATAAACTAATAGTCCAAGGTATAATCATATATGAATAATTAGAACTAAAAACTTGATATAGTGCAGATGATTATACTGAAAACAAAAAAATAAACTAAGATATATATAAATAAATAATTTGGCAATTTTATAACTATTTTTCTACTACTTTTACAAATTGCAAAACGTATATTTATAATTTAAAATAGCAACATCATATGTTGATGAATCGGTAGACATTAAATTAAGTTTCCTAGAAAATATTCTAAGATATGTTCACAATAAATCATACATTTTTATTACAATTCATTTTCTTCAATTTATCTTTCAAATTCTGTTATTTTAGTGACATCAATTATTTCAAATGTACAAGGATGAGTAATAGTCTAGGTGCTTAACATTTGTAATTTTATGTTTAGTGTTTTTTTACTTTTATCCATTACATTCATAATTTCTACCTTTAAAATTAAAAAAATTACCCAGAAATTTAAAACACTTAACCTCAATATCATTTAGAATTCTTAATATCGACAGGATCATACCTCCCAAGGTATCTTTTCATAGTCCTCTGCATGTGCTTAATCCAATCTTGTTACTATTAAACTAAACAAAATAAAACAGTTTCTGATCTGACTTACTGGGAATCCAATGTGAAACATAGCAGGCATTCTCTGCAGAATTGCCTTGTCTACATCTTGTGGGCTATTAGTTGCCCCCATTACTACAACTTGACAGTCTGGATCAATAATAAGACCATTCCACAAACTCATGAACTGTGCCTTCATCAGAGCTGTAGCTTCATGATCAAAAGAGTCTCTTGACAGTAGAAAAGAGTCTGTAAAATCAGAAAAAAAAGTTATCAGACTCTGCGATAATAAACATGATACGCAGAAAAAGGTTTCAAACAATATGATAATATATAAGCAGTGAAGATATTGAAAGTTTTTACAAATGCAATGTTTCTGAAAGCAGGGATAATGTGCTGAGCCCTTTTTAAACATGAAGGTTGTAAGATATACTGAAATTCATCGGCTAATGGAAAATATGCTGTGGAGGAGAGGGCAGTATAGGGGAAAAGGAGTGAAGCAAAGGCTTTCAAGAAGGCTACTAATGAATGATACTTGAAGTGTAGTAAGACCAACAATTTACCAAGGTGGGGAAACCCATAAAAAAAATAGTTTCATAACAAAAAGAGAACTTTCCTAGTGTCTAGATACTATTGGTGTAATCACTGAGTACAGGTCACTTTAAAAGAGTACATTACAAATTAACACCAGATTAAGAAATAAGGCATTAATCCTACCATCCTATAGTCCAGATCAGTTTCATGTGACTTACACATTTTAGGAAAATCAAAAAAGTGTTGTCAGGACATCTAAATCAAAGAGTATGGCAGCAAGTAAGTCAAGTTGAGCACAAGTTATATATATACATATATAATTGACATGCTTCAAGTGCTCGAAAAACAGGCATCCATTTTCTAGACTTGCCGGCCGTGAATGAAAATAAATATTTTTTTTCCTGCTCATTCAGGTCTGGCAAGTCTTGAAAATAGGTGCCCATTTTTGAGCGCTTGAAACATGTGAATTGTAATTTCCAATTAATATATTTTTCGAACAAATGAAGTTTTTGATCAAGAATATACTACTATTAAAGTTTCCTGGGATTATTTATTCAAGATTGAACAACTAGTTTCACAATGGGATATGAACAACTAGTTTCACAATGGGATATATTGGCTTATGAAGTTCATTGATTGTACCCAATAATTGAAATATTTTAAACAGTAAGCAATTTGAAACTATTTAGATACACTACACAAATATAAAGATAGGGAAACAAAATATCTATATAAAAAAAATCTGATAAACCAATTTCATGAATAAAAATGATACATGGCTGGATTTTAATAGACTAAATATGAAAGAAAAGTATTAGAATAACTTCACCATTGCTTGAAGGGAAAAATAAATAACAAATAGCAGATTTACAATGTATTTTATAATAAAATATGTCATAACATTATATTGCAATAAAAACTATAATCAAACTCTAGTGTATGAACAGTATAATGAAAATATTGCACAAACAAAAAAGATTTTTTCTCAGTTCATCATAATTTAATGACGAAATCTCTTGCTATTAGATATTAACATAAAAAACTAGCATTGTTATTTTGCTGAAGTAAACCGGCTGTTTACAAAATGTTATGATAGGGAGCATCCTAAGATTAAGAAATGCATAATGGCAAATCAAATAGAATTAAAAATATTAACTGATTCGTTAGTTTTAAATGTCTTTTGTAAGAATGCTAAATTAGGTTTACTTTAACAGTTGTCATACATAACTTTGAAGCTTAAAAAAGGTTTAAGATTTTAGCACATGGCATAGAATAAGAGATTGTTCTGAATAAACAGCACTGTTTCCACAATAAATAACAAAATAATAATTTTTTTAATTAAAAACCTGGATCATTAAATGTATTAGAAGAGTTCAGATTTGACATAATTTAAAAAATAGCAGTCAAATTGCAAAATTTTGGCCCTAAAAGTTACTTTAATAAAAGGTTTTAATCTTAAAAGGCTAATAATCTGGCAGTGCATAAATGAACAGTATTTCATTGACATAAAATTCTTTTTAAGGTTCATAAAGAAGGAATTCTGGGTAACTCTTTTTTAGGTGGTAAATAATGGTCATTAACTTTTTAGCATTAAAAAAAAGTTTTCACAAAACAACTAAATTATGCCATGTCATTCCTTTAAAAAACAATGTAACAATCCAGCAAGTAACAAAAAAAATAAAAGAAAGACTTTTCACGCCACTATAAAAATATTTTTGAAAAAGAAAAAAAAATTTCTGATGCTGATTTAATAATAAATTGTTTAAGCATTCTTTTTACACCTACATCTATATTTTCTTCATTATTTTTAAAGCTAATTTGCTTAAAAGCAAGCTGACTTATTCTCTAAATTGCCCAAAACTGGATGTGTTAAACCAGTTTCGTGGCAAAGATGCTAAACAGTTAAAAAAATTAGGGAAAACAATAAGAAATAAAATAATAAGTGTTGAAATTAATTTAACCAATTGAACTGAGAATTAAATGAGATAAAAAGTAATGTAAAAAGGTATATGTTGTGCCAAAGTAAATTTTATATTAAATGATTTACGAGAGGGTTCAGCTCCTTTTAAGAAAAAATCATTTTTTTCCCAAGCAAAGGTATTAACTGGATAAAATAAAAGAAATTTATAAGCATAAAGATGAGTTTAAAATTTCTTAAATGTGTTTATTTCTATTAATTCTATAAATTTAATACTTATATTAAGCTACTAAACTNATATTAATTGACTAAACTAAAACTGGAAATTTCCCTTGTAAATTTTTATAAAAAATAACTATATAACTAATTTACTTAAAATAAACATAAAAATATATATTTTTTATTGTAAATTTAAAATTATTTGATATTTTGTTTAAAAAGTTTTTTTCTGCATCTTATTAAAAAAAATAATAATGATTTTTTTTTTCAAATTCCTTGATATTTTAGCTAAATTAAAAAAAAACCATTTTCACAGAAAAATATTAAAGTATACAATTTAGTTTCTATATTAACAAATTATTTTGTTAATTATGAGCGAAACACTACTTAACCTTTAGAATACAAGATAATTTAGACAATTAAACAAGAGTTAGCTGCTGTTTAAAAACAATAAAATTTGACTGAGTTAAATTTATTAAAACCTTGTATTTTGCTTTCAGTTTCATGTGAAAGATTGATTATTAATATTGTTCTGAGTTTTTAATTAAATATTACTTTAAATTAAACTCTTTTGTGATCTAAATAAAAATACACATTGTAATGGACAATATTAAAAATTTAATGAGTTTTTAAAGATAAGTTTTTCCTTAAAGTTTGTTTTATAGCAATATGTAAGCAGGAATGGACAGGGATACCCTGGAGGATGGTGGATGCACTTTTTAAGGGGTGTCATGTGATATGCTTATATTTATATCAATATGTAAATATATATATGCAGTGTCTTCCTTAAGTGATTTTAGATGGGCAACCTGCCCTGTCTACTTTTTGATCCCTATAAATGCACCCTCTCTTCCCTTTCTGTAAAAATAGTCACAATCCCTTAAAAACACTGCCTTTTTATTCATATTCCATTTTTAAGAAAACTCAATGATAAATATACAATGGTAAAATTATCTGTGCTTATAGATTTAATATTGATTACTGTTATAAATATTTACTTTGTTAAGATTATTTCCACATGGTAAAATTTGTATAAGTGTCTTTTTTTCTGAAAGGGGTATATTAATGAAATTTTTTAAAGTTATTTTTTAAAGAAATACTTTATTTTAAAAAAATGGACTGTTAAATGCTTATTTTTTAAAAATTTTCTGTTCAAAATGAAGAAAAAAGCTTTCAAGCTGTTTATTAAAAAACAGTCTTTTTATTTAACTTTAAAAAATATAGATATATATGAATGCGGAGAGATGGTCTTTTAAAATGCCTTTAATTATTTTTCATAAACTACATTTTTTTCTTATTTAGATGAGTGAGAATTACTTTTTGAAATATACACATAAAGACAGTAATTTAAAAGGAACATAAATAAAAATAAAAAAAATTTTTAGAGAAAAAACAATGTGAAAAGGATGAACAATAAATTATTATTTATTTTACATATCAACATACATTTACGGTTTTTACCCCTTTAACCAAAGGGAAATTAATACCAATCTTGTTTTTTTACTTATTTATTTCAACAAAAAGTAATCAAGATAGAGGGCGCACTAAGATAGGTCCCAGTTCATTCCTGTATGTAAAGAAGATAATCATCCAAAGTAGTGATTCGACACCGAGTGATCCTACAATTCTTACTACTCAAGTTGTGAAATAAAAAGTGAATGTGCGCGAATCTTAATCATGAATATTCATGAATTGCTACGATTTAAGTACGCGAAAAAAAAAAAAGTGATATTTTTTTTTCTCTCGTCAACGAAAAATGGATGAAGGTCAAAAGAAAAATGACAAATGAAAAGGATTGACTGTAGATATATTTTTTTTTTACTCTCTCATTTTTATTTTCTTTCTCAATGTGTGATTAAAAATTTTAGTAATATTAGATAAGAGTGGTAATTTAAATATTTTATTTTGAATAATGGAATAGTATATTATTAATGATTAGATTGCATTTCTAGTGTTTATATTGTTTTTTTTAAATTATGATATAATATTGTTCTTTAGTGCATTTAAAATGTTTTTTTTTTTGGAAAAAAAAAGTATATGGTTCAAACGTCAATTAAACTAGTGACGGCAAACTAAATTAAGTTTTTTTTTTAAACTTTTGTTTCGAAATGATTTTTTAGATCTAACCACATTAAAAATTAAATTTTCAAAACTTATCTTTTGAACCTAACAATGAAGAGTTTCAAACAAAACTTAAAGAAAGTGTAATACTTCTTTTACTTTTTCGGACTTGGTCAAAACTAAAAATTCCTATTTTAAAAAATGTGAAACCCAAACAAACGGACAGTTAACATTTTTCATTGCTGGAAGTATAAATAAATTTCAGTTCTCTAAAACATTAGGTATAGTAAAACTTATACATTTTATTCATTTATTATAAATCATGTAATAAATAATCTATGTAAATCTTGGTTTAGAGTTAAACAATTATTTAAACATCTTTAAGAAAAAAAAAGTAGTTCTTAAGAAGAGCTTTTTTTTTTAAAGGGAAGTAGCATAACAGCTTATTTAACTCGACACACATGCTAGCATATATTTTCACTCCATTGAAAATCTATTTAATATTAAGCTCTATACTTTTTCATCAATTACTAATTATTACATAAAAACTCAAAAATTAACCACCAATTTAAATTAACACATTAAGCCATTATTGTTCAGATTTCATCATAGCACTACTAAATATGCCAAGTAGGAATGAATAATATTCATAAGCAGAGAAAGTTTTGAATAATAAATTTAAAATAAATACTTAAAATCTGAAAAATATTTTACATTTTCTAAATATATATCTGAGATCAGAAACCAAAATATTAGGAATTACGAATCAAAATGTAAACTTCAGAATGATTAAACCATAGCCACTCTCAAATAAAAACTAAAGTTCAATGATTTCAATAATTTATATGTTCAATCGAATGAGTTTTTCTTCAAAGTTAATAATGAATCAGTTATTGACAATGTAAGCAAAACTTAATTGTACCTTAAATATAGATAATTTTGAAGACCAAAAGAACATGATCATTAAATTTTCAATAAAGTTCATAAATATTCAGGTATTTACGAATATCAGGCATTAACCTGAGTAATTACCAAGTTATAAAATCCAAGTATCTAGGATAGCATACCTGCCAACATTGAAGAAATAAAATAACGG